ACTCCAAAGGCAGCTGCTCTGAACGAAACACGCCATGGATGAGGGATCAGAAAAGCAATTAAAAGCTCTTTGAACAGCAATAGCTTGGAACAAATACTAATTTGTACTTCTCTTCTGAGAAGCGAATATAAAATAGCATTTCTAGTGCCATTTGATGTAAATTGAGCCTTTTATGTGGAATCATTACAAGTATCAACAGCTACTTCTGCAGATTCCTCTGGGAAGCCAAGTGGGGGGTCTCTCCTCACAGCTTAACCCACAGGTCCTCAGGGATGAATTCAGAGCTCGTTCTTCTGCTGGGATATCGCCAGCATCCCTTGGACAAATGAACAGGACTCTGTCCTTCTACTGGACAAGTGGGGCTGGGAATTGAAGCAGACCAAAGAAATAGCAATTATTTCTTCAGAGCAGTCAGTGAGGTGACTTTGGGACAAAAAGGTACCAGCTTGCAGTGGCAGACTTGGAAACACTTGGGTGCCTGTGCCAGGCATCTCTCCCCACTGCACCAGGGGCATGGCAGAGCTCATGCTTTTGGATGCACTGTCCCTGCTCGGTGGCTGCAGAGCCACGGCACGTTCTCAGATGCTCTGGAGAACTGTCAAGCTGCAACGAACGCACTAGAAAATCATCCCACGTATTGAAATTGCCTGGAAGATTAACGCAAGGATTGCCGCCCTCTTTGTACTTGGATTTCCTCGTCTGTGGGAGTGCTTATTCGTGCTGGAGATAGACAAATAAATAAATAAAGCATGAAAGGAGGGGGGAAAAAGGGACTCCAAACCAGCCAATTAACCTTTGAGATACAACTTGTGCCGCTGCTAACTAACAGCATCCTGTAACCTCCTAATTACCAGCCACGTAGGACGTGGCAGGTGGAGACAGAGCTGGCTGTTAACCCCGCGGACGCGCTGCGCGGGAGGATCCGATGGCTGCTAATGGCTGAGGTCCCAAAGAAACTCGCTTCCCGTCATCAGCTGCCTCCTGCTTCCAGCATCTCCTGCCACAAACCGGCTGTGCTGCCATGAAATCCTCAGTCTGCCTCTGAGAAGAGCGGGGCCGCTAAAGGACAGCTCCACACAAAGCATTTCGAACACCTCCTCAGCTTCCTTATCTTCCCCACGCTACTACAGTGGTTGTGCCCCTAGAAACAGGATAGGATCCTTGCCTAAAAGGGTATTAAATGGGCTATGGGCATTGAATTGTGTTCAGTTCTGGGCCCCTCACTAGAAGAAGGATGTTGAGATTCTGGAGCGTGTTCAGAGAAGAGCCACAAGGATGGGGAGGGCTCTGGAGAACAAGCCTGATGAGGAGCGGCTGAGGGAACTGGGCTTGTTTAGCCTGGAGAAGAGAAGGCTGAGGGGAGACCTCATCACCACCTCCAACTGCCTCAAGGGAGCTTGGAGAGAGGTGGGTGCTGGGCTCTTCTCCCAGGTGATGGGGATAGAACAAGGGGAAACGGCACCAAGCTGTGCCAAGGGAGGTTCAGGTTAGAGAGAAGGAGGAAGTTCTTTACTGAGAGGGTCGTCAGAAGCTGGCACAGGCTGCCCAGGGAGGTGGTGGAGTCACCATCCCTGGATGGATTTAAAGAGCGGGTAGATGAGGTACTTAGGGATATGGTTTAGGGGGTAGACAGGAGCGGTTGGACCTGATGATCTCAGAGGGCTTTTCCAACCGAGCGATTCTGTGATTCTGTAAATGGGGTGGTGCCAGTTATGTTAGCCAGGGCAACTGTGTGAGCAGATTGCCATAAAAACATATATGGAAGCCTTGAGGCAATTTGGATATGGACAGGTCTCTCTCATTCATTTGTGGTGGTACAGACACAGCTTACCATCCTGTCCTGCCAACAGGGATGCTATGGCACACGTATCCCCTCGCCCTATGGCTACAACAAGGGCCAGCCCTAAAACCCACAGGGTTTTGTCTCCAGCCTGGCACCTTGCAACCTCACTTTCCTCATCCAGAAGACACGGATAATGATGGACAATAATGCTCGATGTGGATAATAACGGACAATAATGCTCGATTGCCTCAAGAGGGCTCCGTGAGACTGCTCCACAGAGCGCTGCCGTGTCCCGGGATGAACACCAGATAACACTCGGACTGCTCTATCTTCCACACCATGCGTTGTACAGTACCCTGCACCCCTCACACACACACAGAGGATTGATGCCTTGGCTTTGAATAGCACTCAAATTAAAAAAACGTATATGGCGTGCCCATCAATTTGCAAAGCCAGTGATGACAAGGAAGTCTGAGAAGCTGGAGGAGAAAAGCAAGCAGCCATTAATTACTCCTTATAAAAGGGATTGGGCATTTCCTTACAGCCAGAGAGGTTTGGGGAAGGTGTCCCTGTGGCTGCTGCACTGATTTGCAGCCCACTTTTCAGTGGCTGAAAACCAGTGGCAAAAGTGGAGACCAGGGAACCTGCTTAAGCTGTTCCACCCAGAGCAAACTCCTCCATGGGAGGTGATGTTTCGCAGGGCTTCAGGGACCAGGAGTCCCCTGCCCACACTGCTGTCGCACAGAGCACAAGAGGTCTCCTCAAAGGCTGAACCTTGCTCTCTGGGTGACTCTGAACAGCTTGGGGGGAACAAGGAAAGCAGAAGACAGCCGCATATGCTCGTAGGCAGCTCCTAAATCCTTACGACTTGGGGAACGGCCTCCAGGTTTGCCTTTGGGAGGATGGAGGAGATGATGGCAATGCCTGTGCCTGGTTAACAGCCTGGGGAAGGCTCACACCTTCTCGCCTTGTAATACCTGCTCAGAGCAATGAGGCAGCATCCCTCACTCAGTAACCAGAAAGCTGTGATTTTTCCTGGCGAGGATCATGGTGTATCCAAAATGAGCCATTCTGGCCTCCCCTCCAGCCCAACACCACGCTGTGGGTTCGTGGCAGCGTCGCTCAGGCCTCTCCTCCTTATCTCCACACAAAGCCAGGCCCCGGCCCGAGTCTTGCAGCCAATTCTCACACGAGGAGGGCTGCGGGTTCTGAAATCACCCTGCTTTGCTCACAGGAGCCCCAGGCTTTCATGCCAAACAGCCTGGGAGCCAAGAGCCATTTTCTATTGCTTTCAGATCGTGTCAGCCTCTGGAGATGCCCCGGAGGTCACTCTGTTGATGAGGGTGAGGTGTTTTGGAGCTGGGGTCTGACAGCTCCATGGCTCGTCATCTGCACTGCGTATCAGAGACACTGCAGGCAGGCACACGGAGGAACTTTTACAGGTTTCGCTTCAAAATCCCTCCCTTTTTATTGGGCCCATGCTGGGCAGTGCCTGTGAGTGAAGCTGGCAGGAGTCTGATGCTCCGGAGCCAAAAGCTTCAGAATCTTTACTGCCATTGGCTTTGAGACGGTTGAAAGCAAATCTTTTACAAGATAAAATCCAATAGAAACCTGCCGGCTACAGCTCTCCTTTATTAGCAGCAAGGCTGTAATTATCACAATTTACCTTTACACGAGCGATCGTGCGAGGCTCCGCGCGCTCCCTCAGCTTTCTCACTGCAGCCTGCCTCAGGTTTTCCCCCGGCACCCGTCACGGCAACATCCAAGGGCTGACAGAGCCATATCCGCCTGACAAAAGAGTATCCATGCAGAAACGCAGCCGCCGCGAGGAATGAATTGTCCATTCAAAGGCGGCTGACAAGGTGTATTTCCTAATTTTAAAACTTCTTGTGGAGCAAGCAGTCAGACAGAAAGCTGACAGCGACAGCTATTTCTTTCTTGGCTTTGGATGCTCTCCGCTGCAATTTGTTGTGGTACAGCTGAGGTTCGTGTGTTTGAGCCGAGTATTCACTTTTTCGAAAGAAAATATGCCTCAAATAGCAGAGAATTTGGGGGTTTAAAGCACTTAAGTGGAGAGAAAATGAAGAAGTAGTACTTTGAAGGACTGTTTGCCATGGTCCTGAGCAGGACTGAACCCTGGGAAATGACAGAGAAGGAAATGCAGAGTCTCTCGTCCTGCCTTTGGATGTACTGCACTGCTGACTGCCTTTTCTGCTCATTTCTGAGCAGGCAGAGGAAGGCAGAGAGGAGGAATAGCTTTATAAGTAACCTTGCTCTGGTCCTGATCCTGCAGTAGAGATTTTGGGGGAGCACTAGAGGAACCTTTGACCATCCACCTCTCAGAAAACCTGTACGAGGGTCTGCTGGCCTTGCTGGGAACCATTTTCTGCACCTGATACAGACAGCACAAGAAATTTCAGAGCATGTCTTGAGAAGACAGTGAAAGTAACCAGTTTTTCTGAGAAAGAAAAGCCCAGAAAAGCAGAGTTTACCCCAGAGTGACCAAATGGAGATATTCAGATGACTCACCTCCCTTTGCACAGCCCCTCAAGCCCCAATCAGCCAACAACAAGGACAAGCTGTCCTCAGCTGCCAGCACTGCTTTCTGCCATCACCATGTTCAGACTAATACTGGGAACAGCACGATTTCTCTTTCCTCCCTCCAAACACTTAAAAGGAAGACCTACTTGCACCCTACGAGATCAAATTAAAGGTTTCGGAGCCTTCAGGGAGAAACACTTTTTTTTTTTCTTCTTCTTTGTTGCTTTTAGCCTTGCCTGACAGTTTAAGTCTTTATTTAAAGGTCCAGGATCAACAAAGAAACTTCTGCGTGGGTTATTTGCACTACAAGGTCCCCTGTGCACCACCACCATGAGACCAAAGGGGTATTTCCACCAGAACAATTCACACATAGATGAATAATTCACAGCAAACAACTCCAGCAGTCAGGCTCTTGGTCCTAACACACACATTTAAGCTCTCCACACCTCAGCAGCACCACCAGCCGCCTCCCGAGGCTTTTGGCACACAGAAGGGTGCTCCTGCCCATCACAAATCTGCAGGATCAGGCTCTCGGCCCCAGCGGGTGCTTCCAACTCACATTAAAACCACTTGCTCCTCCTCTGGCACGGCTTCCACAGAGTCACCCCACGCCACCATGCCGTGAGCATCTGAAACCACAGACTCTGAGGGCTTTTCAGGCCAGTCCCACACTCACCTGCTCGTGGTACTCGATGCCCATGCTCAGCGTGTTGATGAGAATGGCTATCATAATCCCCCGGTTGAAGTACTTGCTCTCCACGATCCTCTTCAGCTTGCTGCCGAAAGCCTTCCACAGGCGGGTCACCTTGTTCCTCTCCTTGGGTTTTTTCTTCTTCTTCCTCCTCCTGCCCCGCTGCTGCTGGAGCTGGTCTCTGTGGTCGCCGTGCCGCAGGTCCTGGGTGAACTCGTAGACGCCATTGCTGTCGGAGTCGCAGCTGTCGGACTCGCTGAATGCGAACTCGGGGTCTTCCAGGAGGCTGGCACAGAAGGGACAGTCCTGCAGCTCGCAGGTCAGCGTGCAGCCCGGCGGGCTGGGCAGAGGGCAGGCCACACTCAGCCCTGACAGCCGGCTGGGCGTCCGCCGCAGACCTGCAAGGGGAGATGGACACCATGAGCCACCTCACGTCCTCAACATGGCGGACAGCCCCGTGTCCCTGCTCGGGTGGCACTGGTCACGTCCTCAAATAAATGTAATACCCTAACACAGCCTTCTAGCCATTCATCTTAGCAAGCAGCAATTACTTTGCATCATTTTTTCCCTTTCCCAAGCCCTCACACCCACCCTCTAGCCCTCTCCATAGACATGGGGCCAAGAGGCCGCCTCTCCACACAGCGTGGCCGCCATTTTGTGCTCTGCTGCTTGGGGAAGACTGACTGGCACACCTCTCTCTTTCAATTATTTTTTATTGTATCTGACCAGGCTAACATCATTAGCGGTGATCTGAGCACTACCAAGCTGTTACACCCTATTTAGATAGCGCTTCCATTTAGTTATTAATGAGAAGGGAGAGGGAGAAATGAACCAAAGGTGGCCACAGACCACGGATCACAGCTTGGAGAGTCACGTAGTCCCTTCAGTCTCCTTCATCCCTCCTTCAGCCTTTAATAAAGCTCAGGTGAATTCTTTGCTTGAGGCCAGGACTGAGTGTTCAGGGTGTTTTAAAATCAAACACATTGCCACATGTTTGGTGGTGTGAGGAGAAATGCTGGCTGCCCTCGCAGAGCCAGGGTATGGAGATGATACGGACAAGCGTAACAAGGATGATTCAGGTGGAAAAGGAGCCAGATTTTATTTCCTTTTATTTAGGAACTAAATTTCTAGTTTTCTCATATTTAGGAGCCAGATAGCAATGGCAGAAAAAACCCAACAGGAATGTAATGCCGTGAGAGTAGGATCCTTCCTACAAAATGTCATTCAAGCATCATTGAAAACTTGCCTTGTTCAGAGAAATAAGGTGAGGGGACAGTTTTCCCCATGACATGCCCCTGTCTGGAGGTTGGATGGGGACACATGGAGAGGTTTTGGGGAGACCAAGCAAAAAGCAGTGGATGCTCCTGGCTGAGGGCCCAGGAGCTTGGAGCTCACCCAGCAGCAATGCTGCTGATTTCAGCCACTCCTGGCTGACACTTGAGGACATCTTTAAAGAGAAGCCAGCACCGAACAAAATAAAGCTTGAAAACTGCATTGTGACAAATCAAAAAATATATTTACTTGCCTGAACGTCCCTCAGATACCACTGGCCTTCAAAACAGCCTTGCAGGAGAGGGCCGATCAAAAATATTTGCCCCCTAACTCAGCACTGGTGCAGTACTGCACATTAGCACGGTGTTCCTGATTGGGACTGGTCTGATGAGAAAAGACTGCAGCGCAGCCGCAGTAGCACTGACAGCAGAGGTAGTGGGCTTGCCAGACGTCTTTTAATGCTCTCAAAGTGTTAAAAATTATATGAAAAATACTGGCGCCGCAGATGTCTTCAAAATACCAGAGTCTCCTTGGCTGCCTGCTAAAATAACCTCCCAGCATTGCAGGGCACGAGAACACGGAGGAACAGGCTGTACTTTATGCTGTTCAATTCCACAACAAAAGAAGGGAAGAGAATACTCTCTCCCGCAATTGCATCTTTCCCAGCAGACACCAACCTTGTTTCCAGCTGGGGCTGTGAGTGCCCTGGCTGCTAATGCCTCCTTAATGCTCTCAATTATCACTCGTGTGCTCTCCTTGCACAAGTCTTGCAGGGAACAGACTCCACTTGTTGACTTGTAAGAGCAGAGAGAGAATTAAGTGAAGTAACTCTTTTTTTGCCCAGAGAGGCTGAGGCCAGGAGGGTTTCACCTTCCCCGCTGAGCACAGGGTAGGGATTTAACACAGCTCCTTTGCTGAGTTCAGGCTGGGATGGAGAAATATGAGTTGGGAGCTGTGCCTGGTAGAGCTACACCTTCAGGATCTACCTTCTGTGGCACCTAAAGATCCTCCTGAAGCCTGGCAGACACATCCATCACCCATCTGTATGAAGAAGTACAGAAATGAATCTAACTCATCTGTGCTGGTGTGGCAGCAGAGGGAAGGAAGGCCTGGAAAGAGCCAGCACCAGGGAGGGGAAGAGCTGGGCACTGCCACATTGTGTGACAGCATCTCCAGATGGACCTGGCCAATTTGCTTCTCCATTTCAGTCCCTGTGTTCCTCAGGGTGGTGGTCACCAGCCGAGACCCGTGGCATCCCCTTCCCCTAGATATGGCCAAAAAACAATTTCAGGAAAGTTGTTTAAAGCATTTTGGCATCCTCTGGGCTGAAATGCCTCTGTTAAAAAAAGGATACTATAACTGCATTATTAATAGCATCTCCATTTAACGGCTGGCTTTCAAAGAGCCACCACAGGCTACATGAAAATCTTCTCAGACACTGAAGTGGCCATGGGATGTTACAGTTGGGACTAGGAAATTGGGCTTCCTTCTCCTGAAAAGAATCCCAGCAACAGATCCCCTTGCACGCATGAAGAACCAAACCTCTCACTTAAGCACCAGCTTCCAAAACCAGCTCTTCTGTTCATCCTTGCTCTCCCAGTCCCAGACTTCTGCAGAGCCTGGGCTTTTATCTCAAGGTAAATACACTTCCTCATAATAACCTTCATTAACTCGCACGGTTAAAGATGAACCAGTGATTCATACAAAGCCCTTGCTTAACAACGGAAGAACGTCGCAACTAACCTTGCTCCCTGCTGCCCTCCTGCTAAGCTCCCACACGTACAGAAACGTCTGCCGAAGGCAATTTCGATAAACAATCCACTTCACCCTTTTGTATGGTCACTTACAAAAATAAAATTAACAAAGACAAGCCACCCAACCTATGTGGCAAGCAACCTTTACTGTGACCCACCCCCAAGGCGGGCTTGGTATTTTTGCAGCACATGCATCACTAGGATAAATATTTGTGTCCATGCACGGGCAGATAAACAGTTTTGGAAAACATGGGCACTGAAAAAAACAGATTACTTGTTTGGTTTAAAGAGATTAAAAAACAGAAGCTAGATCTTTTTGACTTTCTACTGTTTGAGAGCTTAAGACTCTTGTTTTTCAGCCTTCAGATCCAGCCATGAGGACTGGGAACATTTTGCAAAATAGAAACCTAAGTGTTGCATGGAATCACTACTCCAGCAGTGGCTGATTTATATACGAAGGGAGACAAAACCACACCAACTAATGCTGGTGCACTACTGCTGTGGCTGCACTCTGTACAGATAGGTCGAGAGAGGTTCTCCTGCCCCTCTACTCTGCCCTGGTGAGACCGCATCTGGAATATTGTGTCCAGTTCTGGGTCCCTCAGTTCAAGAAGGACAGGGAACTGCTGGAGAGAGTCCAGCGTAGGGCTACAAAGATGATCAAGGGAGTGGAGCATCTCCCTTATGAGGAGCGGCTGAGGGAGCTGGGGCTCTTTAGTTTGCAGAAGAGGAGACTGAGGGGAGACCTCATTCATGGTTATAAATATTTAAAGGGTGAGTGTCACGAGGATGGAGCCAGGCTCTTCTCGGTAACAAACAATGATAGGACAAGGGGTAACGGACACAAACTGGAACACAGGAGGTTCCATTTCAATTGGAGAAGAAACTTCTTCTCAGTGAGGGTGACAGAGCACTGGCCCAGGCTGCCCAGAGAGGTTGTGGAGTCTCCTTCTCTGCAGACATTCAAAACCCACCTGGACGCCTTCCTGTGTAACCTCATCTGGGTGTTCCTGCTCCGGCAGGGGGATTGGACTGGGTGAGCTTTGGAGGTCCCTTCCAATCCCTAACGTTCTGGGATTCTGTGATTCTGTGATAGGGATGGGACAGAGGTCCAAAAGAGTTCCCAAGATGTTCCTCATACATTCAGCTTGAACAGAGCTCCAAGTCTGCAGTAAAACTCAGTAAAAAACCTCAAAACAACCCCTTTGCCCAGTCTTTCTAAGCAAAAAATATCAGCTTGTATATCCTTACCATGCTCTCCTACCAGTTGCTGCAGCTTCCCATAAGAATCCGTGCCCAGATTTACAGGGCTGTTAACCATGGCCACGGGCGAGTTGCCGTTCTTCTTTGCTTTGGGAACTGGAACAGTTCCCAACGCTTTGCTGGTTGGAGAGGGCAGGATGGTGGGATAGTTCATGTTGCCATGGTTGGAGAGTCCAGCAGTCAGTTTAATGCTCGTGGGGGCATTGGAAGACTTACAGTTCACTTGTGGTCCTTCGACGTGACAGTCTGCGTGGTAGATGCTGTGCACAGACTCCGAATCCGGAGGAGGAGCAGGGCTCTGCAAGTTGGGTGATGGAGGAGGAAGCATCAATTGGCTCCCAGGTTTCATGACCTTGAGTTCCAGGTCGCAGATCTCCGGGTTGGAGCGCGGCCCCCGAGGGCTCCCGTTGCTGATGTGATAGTGGTGGTGGTGGTGGTGATGGTGGTGGTGGATGAGGTGGTGGATGGAGGTGATGCGCTTTTTGCCTCGGTGGCTTTGCCCATTGGTGGTGCTGTTGGGGTTGACTTTTTTCCGGCGCTTGCTCTGCCAGTTATTGTACAGCCGTATCGTCCGCCGCTTCACCTTCCTGAAGATGTGGCAGATGTACTTGAGCAGCTCCTCGTAGCAGCTCCCTGGCTCCGAGAAGCTGGCGATTGTGCTGTCGTTGGAGAGGTAGCGGGCCCGCTGCTCCTGCATCAGCTGGTTCTCCCGCTGCTTCGTTTCGGAAAACTGTGTTGCTATCACAACCAGGCACAAGTTAATCATGAAGAAGGAACCAACCTGGAGAAAACACAGGGAAAGGGATTAGCAGGAACTGCTTACAATGCAAGACACGCTCTTCACCACCAAGTGCTCGCTAGACTTGAAGTGCGGCTCTTCGAAAGCCCAAGATTTCCAAACGTGCCAAATCTCAGGGTCTGCTCACCACATGTGATGTCAACGTGCGCCTGAGCTGCTAAATTTGCTCCTAAGCCTCGTCAAATTATTGTGGCAATGGCAAAGCAAGCTGTTATCGATAGCCTTCACCGCTTTCCTCCTCTCAACAGCGATGACATTTGCTACTAAGGCAGGGTGCATGAAACACAACACAATCAGTGAGTACCACAAAACAGATCGCTAGGAAACACCCAGCCAAGCTGCAAGGAAAGATGGCCTCAAGTCCAATTTGTGCTGTACTGAAACTGCCTCTTTCTCTATCACTTGACACCATCATTTTGGGGGTGACAGTCAAGGTCCATGCATCTGTGACCTTGTACTCCTGCATCTCTCTGGCAGAGAGCAATGCATCTGCAGGAGATTCGGTGCTCCTAGAAAGGCCCGATTTATCGTCTGGTTGAACTGATGTGTTCTTGGGTGATACCAGTTTTTCTAAATGAAGCCTCAAGGACAACAATGTGAAGTGACTTAAGGCTACATCCTTCCCTCAGCTGTTGAGTCCACAAACTGGTTTTTCACCACTTGCGTTCATAAAGCAGCCAGAGGAAAATGTCAAATATTCCCAGCAGAGAATCAGTACCCTGAGGCGTGAAAGGGACTGACGTCAACCAAGTGCCACTGTCTACACGGCCAAACCTCCGTGCTGCGCTCAGTGGGAAACGTATGGATTTAATCTGGATCATTGTCTGCTGGATCCTCAGGAGAGGCCGTTGGGAGATTGGTTTGCAGCGCTATTCCCCAGTCTGTAATATCAGCCTGGATAAAGCACCGAGGGTGCCATTCCCAGCTCCGAGTGACTTGGAGATGAGTCACCTTTTGGCTTTTCTGCAAGGATCCATATGTACAGAAGGACTCAAAAGAGTAGAGTGTAAATGTCTACTACGTATGGGCCATTTTTGAGCTGAAGGCTCAAAAATCTCTGCTTCAGAATGCTCTCCGTGACGGGAAAACTCACCCTGCTCTGATCCACGCCTTTCCCACTGGTGGTGGGAGCTGTGGTTTGACTTCCCAAGGCTTGACTTCTTCAAACCCCCATGGATGAGGATGGGGTTATATATAAGGAATATCCAGCCACAAAAGCACTTTGAAGTGCCCTTGTCCCGTGTCCTGCATGACATCTACATGGCTCTTTTCCCTCTGCTCTCCTCCTGACTTAAATGTTTAACTTTTCCACAGGCATAGACCATTGGAGAAGGCTGTGCCCACTGTAAAAACAGAACCTTGCTAAGAGGTAATGGCAGCTTCTGAAGGCAACCTCCAGCACCTCCACAGTGAGTAATATTTTGGTTTTAAGAACTACAGCACCGTAAGACCTCAGATGATTACTGTTATTTAAAGGACTCAGGTGATATTCAATAGTTTGGGGGCCCTTCATTGAAACGAGGAGTCCTCTGGCACATTGAGGAAGCTAAAGCTACAGCCTCTCCAATTTTGGTTCCAATTAGCAGTTGCTTGGCCAAGACACAACAGTCAGGGTGCATCAAGGTGGTAAGACCAAGGCTGGGAGAATAAGATGGAGGGAAGACCAGATGGCTTGGCAAGCTGTGACCACGCATCATATATGACACTAAAAAGGACCATTGTAGCCAATAATCTGTCCTCACAGCACTAATCCCTATCTGCATCATTACACTTTATGGCAGGAGGAAGATGTCCCACTCTGAATCCTGGCTGGCTCTGCTCTGTGAAAAGCCCAAGGAACAACTTTACCCCACAAGGACACAGAAGAGGAGCATCTCACGGTTCATACTTACTATTATAAGCAATATAAAATATATAAAATTGTAAAAAGAATGTGCATCCATCACATAATACATGATGTCAACCCATCCTTCCAGGGTTATAACCTACAGGAAGACAGAGAAAGAAAGTGTAAGAACAAAAGTCAACCAAAAGGTCAGTAATCATCCATGTTCTGACAGTGCCTGGTACTCATCACCCCACAGCATCTTGCAGGATCCATCCAGACCCTCCAGTTGGCTTAAGACAGCAGCAATGTGTGACCAAGGGAGCGGTCTGGGACGATTAAAACGATAAAACATGACAATAAAACAGCTGAAGCACTGGTTCTGGGCCAGCCTCTTCGTGCAGAGATCTGGGCTTTTACCTTAGGCTCCTGGTTTTGTAACGTTACCCATAAAATTCCCACGTTTTAAAGTCAATTTTGTTTCTGTAAACCCAATTTCTATACGATGCCTACTGGCTCACCACTACAACTGCATCACCAATATCATAGTGGGAAAGCGTCTGAATGTCAGAGAGTTACTTTAATTAAATGCTGAATTGATTTCATACTCGTTTTCTCAATCTTCCTTCCACTAAAAAAGAAGCTGAGGATTTAATTAACACCACACAGGCTGTGTGCAGAGCAAAGCAAATTCTGCCATGTAATTTGCACTTCTTATTTAGCTAAAACACACCAAACTTCTAGTGCTATCTTGCTACTAGAGCTGAAATTCCAACACAATTTCCAACAAAATCAAAGCCTCTGCCTGGATTTACTTGCACTGACATACCCCATTCGCTATGTTTAATGGGAGCACTGGTGGTCCCAGTATAAACCCAAAATTGCTGCCTGTCTCTCATTTCAGTGGCATCATTCTGGATTTACACCATGTTTGCAGTGAAGGAACTGTGAATTCGCTTGCTGTGAACAAGAAAAGGACCAAGCCTCACTGCTGTAGAGGACTTTCTGTACAGAAAAGCTCATTCATAAGGCACTCGCTGTTGAGGCTGTGAATTAAACAAGGTCCTTGTCACACCCAGAGCATCAGGGCAAAACACTTGCAGGGAAGACAGACATGAATCCTTGCCACTTTTCTCCTGGTATTTTACTCAATTAGCTGCAAGAAGCTCCTAGATATGGATCTTTGGTATACGACCACATCTGCAACAGGGAGAGGTTGCTGTACACACAACCATCAGCACTCAGAGACCCTCAGAGCACCTTGCACCAGCTCATGGGTGCTGGAAGAGAAACTCTACTTGCTCTTGGTTCCTCTCACCCTCCAGTAAAACGTGGAGATGTCTCAGCAGCAAGTTTTCAGACGCACTTCCCACGCTGACGCACACGTCACTTTAGCTGGGTGAGCAGCAGCCAGCGAATACAGCTCCACGCTAAAGCCAATAAACGTGATCCGCCAAAGAGCAGGTAAAAATTGCCTCTGCAGCTGTTTCACTAGGGCAGCAGTGCCAAAAACTTGGAGCAATCGGTTCTGACGACACCTTGGCAGCATTTGCACAAACTGCACCCACCTCATTACATGCATTAGATGTTCTTTCAGATCACATCATTGCTGCTGGTTAGTGAGGTGCAGATAGCAGCAACGCTACGCTTCCAGTGGCATGGGTTTAACAAAACCACCAAGAACACTTTTGGTCACCAGGAACCCCAGAGATCAACCTGTGGTAGAAAGTTTTCAGCAACAGACACATTTTTGGGGTGGATGCAGGTGCTGTCGCTCACCCCAGAGTTGAGAAGGGGTTAAGCAGCCTGCAATAATCAGTGTGTTCAGTGGTGTGAAAGGGACAGGCAATCAAACTCAAACTGCCCTTTCCTGCCTTGCCTTTAACGCCCTTGAAACATTTATAGGGAGCAAAGTTCTCTTCCTCCTGCTGCATCCCTTGCCTGCGTGGGTTGTGCACTCTCGCACTCGATGCTTGTGTAGATTCATGGAGAAACCAGAGGGAATGAGTTGGGAGGCGACACAAGGCTAAACCAAATCACTGCCAGCCACCCAAGAAACAGCCTCCCTTGTGCTCTTCAAAGTCCTCTCTCTCCCTTCCTTCCCTTCTCCTTGGATGGGCATTTTGGAGTCAGGCTGCTCCATCCATTTACACCCGGGGATGAAAAACGAGCCCAGGGACTCCAAATATATTGGATACACCTCTTCACTGAATTTGCATTTGGCTGGTAACCCTCAAATCAAATGTATTCAAATGATTAAACATAGGGCCCAATCTACAAAAGGAGGTACCCAGGCGCTGCTGTTGGGCTTCTGCAGGCGCTGGGAAACAACAGCTGAGACAAGAGCGAGGGCCAACCAACATTTGGAGAGGTATTTTTCTTGTGTGCTAGACAGCACTTTCAGCAAGAATCAATCATCACACCGCCTTTCTCCTCCAGAGGGCTGAAAATGCTCATCCGGCTCTCAGAATATTTCAGATAGAATTAGAATTTGCAATATTTACTACTCACTTGTAAACCAAAGGGATACAGGAGGGATAAAAACAGGCCGCTGGGCTTTTGTTTCTCCCGTGTGGCATCTTTGTGGATTCATTCTTGGCCACACTACGCAGCGCAAACGCAGCAGTACCTTGGGGAAGGATTCCTGAGCTGCCGGGGATTAGCGAGCACCAGCAATCCTGTAAGACAGCGTGCTCACAGACATCTGTCTGCTTCTTTCTAATCAAATAGCTCTGGAGAAACGCAGGACAACACACATGCAGAGCCACCTGTCCGGACTGAAGCAGTGTCCATGATTTTTGCAGCCTGATTCTTGCCATGCTGTGGGTTTCTTCCACGCTGTCCTTTGAAGTGCTCCGAATGACTTTGCCAGTACATTTTTACCTCCTCCAAAATCTCATTGCACACCCTCAGGTTGGTGCAAGGGGGAACCAGCCCATGCGAATTTGCTAACAGCTGGTCTGTACACCATGAACTAAACTCTAACTATTTTTGAACCCAAGTCAAAGGCATCCGTACTGATGCAAGGTTCCCTGCTGCAATGCCCAGTTTGGTCCTGCACACTTATTCTCAGAGCAGAGGGAAAGGTAGCAGCTCTCACTGTCCTCCCAAGAACATGGATATATTTTCTCAGCATGGCTGTGCCTGCTGTTCCTCCCTCGGGGCACCCTGAGTGCAATATCACCTACTTCGCTAAGCAGAAATGACTTCCTCCTCTCTTCAGTTTCCAATCTGATTAATCCACTTGACTGCAGCTCCAGCTTTTGGCCCTCCAAGCCCTTTATAGATGTCTTCCAAGGACCTGAAGCACCTTTCTTGTGCTTTCCAATCTCACCAATCCATTCTCAGTAATTAAATTCTGTTCAAGCCATGGCTGCTCACAGACAGACACATTAAACAGCGTCGCCAAATGTACCAGTTCAAAGCTTCCAATAAATGCAACATACAATTATTTATCAACAGAGATAAGACGGCGAGGAACACGTTTCCTAATTCTGCTCTGATGAAAAAGATGTGCAGGGTACGTGACACGCGGGAAAGAGCTGAGAGATCCAATTAAGATGATTGGCGCGGTCGTCCTGGAGGGCGCTGCCAACCGTAATCACACGCGGCAGAGCCGCTGGGAAAGGAGATGCTGCCCCTTTAGCTTGGGGAAATGGTTTTTGCCTTCGAAGGACTGAGATCCTCTGTGATGCTCTGTCCGACCATCCTTGCCCACTCATTGAGTCCTTTACCCCTTACACAGCATGGGCAGGGATGGGATAAATCATTTGTCTGTCATTAATATCTATGAGGCCTGAGTCTGGTGTCTGATCCTCTCCCATCGCTGCAAGAATTTATTGGGAAGCTCTCAGATGAACATAAAGACAGAGTTTTGACTTCATCGATCTTTGGCTTGGCCACCATTCATGCACTCCCTGATCACGATATTAATATGAGCAGGATGAGAGTGGACAAACAGATCTTCTCTTAATGCCTTCCGTGATTCTTATCACAGAATCACAGAACCACAGACCGT